AAAGGATGACCTGTGCGTGAATTTCGGTTTCATTAAATTTCCATTGAAACACAACTACTTTAGTTATTCTAAACTCAAAATGCAATTTAATGGTTGCATACGTCATACAGTTGTTAAGCTATCTCATGCAATTTGAAAAAGATTTCATGCACTGCTCTTTTGTGCCGAATACGGGCGAACAAAGTGTTCATTATCAGTGGCGTCCAAACGACTTTATTTAAAATTAGCAAATCATTCACAAAATTTATTTCTTCGACAGTCAAGAAACAGTATAAGTTCTTTCAGGACAAACCTGATGGCTAACGGTATTTTTTCCATCAGAAAGCAACGTTTAATTAACAAACGAACTCCAGGTTCCTTGTTTGAAAGTTAGTACTATCCAATCCAGTGTTTTGCCCTTACCGACTGAGCACTCACCCTGTAGCTCCGAGCAAGTATGCTCGCTCAATCGCTCTGAGTTTTCAAAGACTCTTTTCTACCCAGCAACTGTTAAGCTTTTGGAGATAGTCAGCCACTCTCGAGAATAATTCACGGTTATGCTAGGTAATTGGACTCATAAGCTCACAGATTTTAAATAGAAGAAAAAACAACTACTTCTTACATTGATAATAATTGCCCGAGAAGGCCCCACTAAACGCTAAATGTACAAGGACGCACTTCAAGAAAAGTTTTTATTCATATTAATTTGCTTATAGAATGTACAATGTAATAATAAACAAATAATAAATGGGTATTAAAAATGCATAGTAGAGAATCGAAATATTTATCAATATTATTATTATTATTATATTATTATTATTAATTTAGACAGAGAATAAATTCTAAGACTAAAATCTTAAAGCACTAGTTTTCTGAGGGTATCAGCTTTATTGAAAACTCTACCGGACTTGAGGTTTCAACCCACGACCATTAAGTGGTTAGTCGAGACTCTTTGCCTATTCAGCCAATCAGGCGGACAAAAAATTTTAATTATCTAAAACGAATACATTACTTTATGTAAAATTAATTTAATTGAAATTATTCTCATTTTTAATCTCACCGGAACGCACACAGCTACCAGCAAAAATCGTAACCGTTGCACTCTGAAGAGATATTATAGCAATTTTTCAAAGTCCTGCTCAAAATCATTTGAGGCATAAGCAAATTTCCAAGAAATCTTAGCTTAACACTATTGTCATAAAAAGGAAGCACAAACCAACAAATAAGACTTGAAGACGTCAAATGTTTCTTTCTTCTCTTCATATTTGTTAATTATGTCCATTAGAAACTATTTCTTGGCTAAGCTTTATTTGAAATTCAAATACGGCCTAACATCGGGTTCAGATCGTCGATTGCTTACACAAATCTGTTATAATTTATGGCACTTTTTCATAATATTTTAGCCTGATGGGCCAATGAGCCTCCTTCGTACGCGGAATATATTTATTCAAAATTCAGCATATGCGCGGATGGTTTTGGTTGCCTTTATAAAGACCTTGGAGTGTATTTGCGAACGTTATTAATAAAAAGACATCGTTAAGCGTAAAGATGAAAAAAGAGGCAATAGAGGTGAATAAAAAACCTCCAAGATATCAGTAATCATTGTAACATCGCAATTTTAGGAGACTATCTCTTACCCAACATGCATGTAGTAGGCGAGAATACGTACGAATGTTATTAGATATTCATAACAACTGCATCAGTTTTGTTGTTCGACACGTTTATTATTGTCATACTAAAAGTATAGCTCCACTCTATCCCACTCTCTCGCTTTTGCATCTGAAATTATTACTCATGGTCTTTGGGAATAAATGGAATTTTTTTTTTGTTTTTTGTGTTTCGTTTTTTATTTATTTATTTATTTATTTTTTTTTGCCCTTTACTGTATTGTTAGACCAATGTTACACTCATATCAACACACTATTAATTGCTTCTCTCGGGAGGAGTTACCAGACGCTGACTCCTGTTATTACCATTATGCTGTTGATTATTGTTATACGTGTACAGATAAATTATGTTCCTCTCACTCGTTACTATTTATTTATTTTAATTGCATTTGTCGTGTTATTATCATTGTTGGCCGTTTGGAAAAATGAAAAATAAAAACACAACAGAATAGCTGGCACCATATTGTCAGGTTGTTGGTCAAATAATTAAAATAATTATCTTTGGCAAATGTGCTCAACGGGAGGCATTTAAAGATTATGGGAAGAGCACTTTTTTCGTTAAAAAAAACTCCTATAACTGGATGTTTACGTTGTTTTAGGTCCTAAGTTAACTTATCTTGATTTACATTCCAGGAACATTTGATTTTCTGCTTACACCTTCTTCTATTTGCGGAATGAGGATACAGTGATTGCGTCGTTCACAGGCACGCAATCAAACTGAGATTGATCACTCATAAGAATTCCAGCACTTCCAGCACTTATTTTTCTACATCTAGAGAGATGGCTTTTGCCGACAGCTGGCCACTCAGTTTATTGCGGATTTGACTCGTAAGGTGTAATGCTTTTTTAGATTTATGCTTTGCGTGAAAAATGCTTTTTATTTTACCTAAACATCTCCAAACTCTACTTTGGATCATCAACACGTTGCTCTTCCTGGTCAAAAGTTAGCAAATGCGGCGCTCACTTTGAATAGAGCTTCTTCTTCTTGTCTTCAATTTATTGGCTTTGTTTTTTCTTTTTTTTTGTTTTATAAAACAACTGCCAAATTCTGGCGGCCAGTGCGTTAAGGACCATCCAAGCCTGTACGGCCGCGTTTAAAGTCAGCAAAGTATTTCTATACCGTGTGTCTCGATGCCGCAAAGTTCAAATAACACTTATCATGCCATTACCTTCCTTGAATAGTATTCTTTTCCATTAAAACGCCATGCTTTGTTTATCTGCATAGGAAATTCAGATTGTTCCATTGTTTTGAAAATGACCAAAACTGACGTCTCTGAAATAGTTGTAACTTGCAAGTTAATTATTAGAATGTCATGAAATTTAGATACGTATCATTTGAGGATTAGTAGTATCCAGAAATTCATATCAACAGTGTTGACATATATCTTTCAGGCCCGCAACTTATTGAGTAATGTAGTAGTTTGTGCACGTAAATTCGAAATCAATGAGCCAACGACAATTGCCGCTTTATTATTATTATCCAATGGCAACGATACGCCCCCTTTGACCATTTTCGCAAGCTACTATGTACGTGTACCTTATACTTGTTTCTTAAAACAATACAATCTAAGCGATGAAAAAACTTCATTTATATATAATATTATTATATTCCTTGGCGTATGAGTAATAATTAATTATTTTGAAGGGAAATTTATTACGCATACAACCGGAACAAAAACATTGTTGATTTTATTACAAGATTAAATTCGGTCAGTTAGTTATTTAATAAATGCGCAAATTATTAGGTTCATCTCGGAATAAAGATACGACTTTGGCTTACATAAAGAACACGTACATTTCGTTTAAGTTTCTTAACTAAGATACACAACATTTTTTATCCCAATCACCTGTCTAAAGGTGGGATGATGTATAAATTCTTTTGTAAAACATAAAAATGCTTTACAAAAATACGAAAAAATCTATATATACATTCTATATGTAATATAAACTGAAAAGACGGCATAGAAAACCAGTTTTTCTACGAAAACATCCTTAAGCTGTTAAGCTATTTGTTTACATCACGATTTAGAGGACAGAGCTTCTTTTCCTGCCCGTTCAAATAAAGCTTTACTTACGAATTGTACTTTTTTCTCTCCCTAACATGGAAGAAAACCTCATAATTTATGAAATGACCTAATATTAATGCGTAATATTAAATGCATAGATTTCGTCAATTAACTTAATTAAATTCTATTGGGCGACAACACCTTGTATAATATAAGTCTACGGAATAATTAAACTTACAAATTTAGCTTTAATTAAATCTACGTAAACATATGCAAAAAAAAAATTGAAGAAATTAGTTTGATATTTAATTATAGAAATACACACAATATTTATATTCATACATACATATTGAAAGGTTATTATGTGAAAAAGAGACGCATTATAATTTTTAATTAATCATAAAACGACACAGATATTTAAATGATGAGAATACTTGTTGATAGTAAAAGGATTGCATAAGATCTCAGCAGCCAGCAAAATCTATCAGATGAGAATACAGAAATATTTATTTATTCCAGCTAACAGGATGCATTAAACACAGTCAAATGTGATATGTATGTCAGGTTATATCCACTCAAGTTAAACGTCATCGTATAATGCATACGTAATAATAATAATAATAATAATAATAATAATAATAATAATAATAATGAAGTAATCAACATTAATGTTATTATCGGCGACATCACTGCCGTCATTTCATCCCATTAAAAAATGTATAATGGAGACATACTTATGCCCATTGTCGCTTATGTCTATTTAATGTTAACTCAATCAGCGTATATTATATAAATTAAATTTTTATACTGTCGAACTCAATCACACACTTTACTTTAGATTTCCTTTTAAACGCTTAAATCCTTTTAATAAGTATGGATATTGTGATGGCATGACAGCATGCTTAGCTTTTTAATATTTTGATTAAACTATTATGCGGCAGCAATTAAAAACAAAAGCAAGAAAACAATTTGAAAAGCATAGATGGCCACCCAAACACTCCCCGCAGTTATGAGTTAATGTAAAATATGTTTAAAACAGACAGAAGCTTGAAAACTTTTTGTTTTGCTCCGAGTTTCTACGCTTTTCTTTCCTACGTACATTTTTTATTGCTGCATAAATTTAACCACAGGAGCCTTAGATTTATAAAACGTAAAAAACGCAAAAAAAAAAAAAAAATAATAATAATTCTCCACTGCTGTATTTGAGAACGTGATTGAAAATTAATGATTACACGCAGACCAGCTTAAGGATGTTTAGTGATATCTCATTTTAAACATACTTGACAACAGCAAAAATTATTCCACTCCTGTAGATATACTTACACATTATTTTTACAATAATTTTCAGAACCCTCGCCCTTGTATGACAACAATCATTATCACGAGGAATGCCTGCGTTGCAATTCGTGTGGTTTAAACTTAACTGGACCAAATCAAAGACGCGCCAGACGTTTCAAAGTAAGTGGTAAATTTATGAAAACCTCTTTAAAAATAAACAAATCATAACATTACATTGGGTCAAGGCTAAATATTCACTATAGTATGCTACCTCGTCTAATAAAATTTTTCATTTTATCGCTTGGTAATAAAATGGCGCAGGTTATAATATGTGTCCATGTGAAGGTATACGTGAAGGCCCCTTACAAGAGAGGCAGACCAGAATTTTAACTGACATAGTGCAAATTTGACGAAATCAATTTTCTTGACGAAGATCTTATCTATTTTGGTTATGAAATAGTAAAAATTTTGCCTTTTCGTCACATGAGGCTTCCTTTTCCTAGAAACGATTCTATGCAAGGGGACTTCAAAAATTGGCCTACCCGATGTAAGATTGTTCTAAGTAATGCAGAAGCCCATTTAAAACCTCTGCATTTTCTTTCAATCAGACAAGCGGTCGCAATGCAACCCCGCAGCGAGCATGCAAGCAAGTACTGTCCGCGATCTGGATAAACCTAAGCTACTCGCAGCTCAGACCGAGGCTGTAAAATTAATTTAGGAGCTCTTAACACCCTTGATACCAGAAATAAAGGAAAAGAAATGATAAAAACTTCTGGGCACACTTTATAAGTCCCATGTGATCTTAAAAACCGGCATGAGATAGAAAATCTGCAGATCAAGCTGCGGAAAACACAGCCGGTCTATGCTAGGTCAAAGCTTTCTCGTTAATTTTCAAGCTGCAAGTAATGTTCTTACTTAGCTTACGGCAAAATTCGTATTCAGCCCTTAAAAGTTCGTCTTGAATATGTTACATAAGGTGTATTATATAATATGCTACATAAATCCACTCTCTTGATCAGTGCGATTGGGGATTTAAGGTTTCTACTCTGTATGTGGACTCGAAATCTTCCTGTTCGCGTAGATTGGCGATCAAAATCTTTAGTCTTTCTAATATGTTTAAATACAATTTAAAATTTCTCATTTTGTCGGACAAAGCGGACCAGCAAACTCACAATATAGTTAGTCTACTAATGATCTGTTTGTAACCCGCACCATGTACAGGGTGTATCATGTTAGTACGCATGTATGCAATACTTGAAACGAGACTTAAAACAGATCCATCTCTTATTGTACCGATCAAGTCAAAACGATTTTCAGAATCGATTTAGGCATGCCTGTCTATATGTCCGCTATTTCCTTTGCCTTACGGCTGGCAATTTTCAAAATATTTTGACGAAATTTAGAGTACACTGACATGTTCAAATCGAATTGAAAACGGTTGAAATATAACCCTTTCCCATATAATGTCGTATTATAAAAAGTCGTTGCGAAGCTGTGGCGACATCGCCATACTATAACATTTTATCTCCTTTTTAATGAAGAAAGGAAAACGATATCATCTTTTCGCAAAGTTTGTCATTCGAATTGTTCCTTAAATATTTCAAAATAATGTACAAATTTTGATATAACTGTTTTTTTTTTATAATATCTTTGCCTTGTTCATCTTTTCATATGTTTTGATGTGATAATATATATGTATATATATATATATATATATGTATATTTGATATGAACGTCTTTATTGTAATTACTTTCTTGCAGAACCAAATTCTGTGCGACCTGCATTTTGCAGACGTTGCCCTAATGGAGTGCTCAGATTTTATGCAACAGCTGAGAAGCTTTAAACCACAATCGTTGGGTTGCGCTGTTGCCAGACGTAAAAGTTCAACAACGTTAATATTTCCACTGCCGCCTCAGGCATGCTCTGGTATGTGTTAAAAACAAGAAGAAAAAAAATAGAAGCAAATTCTTGGCTCTATTCATTTTACTAATTTTTTTTTTTTCTTTTCTGTAAATACTTGAAATTATTTGCCAGATATAGTGGAATACAATACATGAAGGTGGTTAAATAAATTTAGACGAACAAGAGAAAAAAAAAAACCAAGAAAATAAAGTAGAGAAAGAAAGGGAAATGTTGAATTAAACTGGCGCCTAAAAGTCAACAATGTTTTTAGGTTTTATGAAAGGACGTAAAGAGAAAAACTTCATCAAAATGCCTTTCGTATCGAATGCAACCACCGCAAATAACGCGTGGGTTTACTGCTCGAATGTTAGTGAAAGTATGAGACTATGTAATATAAAGAAGTACGAGAAGTTAGAAAAAAAAAAAAAAAAAAAAATTTTTTTATAGGCCCTTAAACTGGGAATAAAATATTAAGTGGAAAAAAGAAAAGAACACGAGCCAGCCAACGTAAAAAATGTGTGAAATAATTCAAGAAATACATATAAAATTTTTATTACTGTGAATGAAAGTGCGAAAATGAAGAAAATTCTAAATCTAACCCTCTTGTGCACTCTTCTCCCACTCCTCTCTCGCATACTTCATTACTAATCATATACGATTACGGTAAGGAGAACTTTTTTTCAACATAAGGTTTCAGTAAAAAGCAAATTACACTAAAAGAAAAAATAACGCAACCATTGAAGAAATTATAAATGCTTTCAACTACTTGCGCTTATAGGTATGAACGGAAAATCGCTGAGCGAATAAGTAAAACAAAACGTTCATAGTCGCGGGAAACTTTTTATATTTTATGTGTAATTAACGCTGAAGAAGAAAAACATAAAGATCGTAACTAAAGAAGATTTAAAGAGAAGTGTGTTTGTATTAACAAAATGTATATATTTAATGTATGAAAACTTTTTGACGGCACGTGCATAAGGAATAATAATACTTGGTGCCATTTATTCCCTATTGCGGTTTGTACCGATATGGCGAAAACCTTTAATAAAATCACAAAAATTAATTTTTGCGATTTTGTTTCCAAATTTTCTTGCTAACGCTCAAAAAACCCTTCTTTTTTTCCAACGCTTAACCTACTTGAAATAAAACAAATGAAAATTAAAAAAAAATTATGTCAACCACAGAACCAACATCTGCAGCAAGATCTCCAGTTATTCAGTTAATTTGAATTGACCCACTCACTGAGCTTCTGAAATGGTCCTACCGTTTACCCAGAAATCAAGTTTATTTGCCATCCACATCTATGCCGTAGTCTGAACCATAAGCACGGGTTAAATGGGAAGCCACTATCTCGTCATAAGGAGCAATAATAGGCTTGATTTAATCGACTTTAAGTCCTTTGTTGCATTCGTGAAAATTTTTAGCGTTGCATTTGTTATGATTTAGAAATAAGGAGCAAAATAGCATGAAGTTGCTTAGGTGATTTTTTTTAATATGCCCAACGAGTTAGGAGATGTCCGTTAACTGCGTAACGTGACTTTGTTCTGAAAAAGAGACAGAAGAGATCGAGTGCGCCCAATCGACTAGTCCTTACCGACTAAGCTTTCATTATAGTTACAACCAAGTATGTGATACCCGCCCCAGCATTTGACGTCGCATGCACCGATATCAAAATTTTAAATAGCGAACAAGCTAAAATTATATCGAAATCTTATGAAGTATTTCCCTCTACCGTTTTACTATTCTATTCTATTATGGTTTCTATTATATCTTTGAACGTATGGGAATACTTTACGTATGTCATCTTATAGACTAAATTACGAAGTGTTTACAAACCGCTATAGCAACGATTTGACCCTGCCCTGCGCTCTATTATAAAATAGGTGCCGTTTCAAGATTTCTTTTGAACGGTTTTGAAAACTTGTACTAACGAGACTTTGCTATAAAAATGCACTACAACTGTGTGATACATATCACATAAATAAATAAGAAAATGAAAACTGAAGTAAGAAAACTACATCTATCTTAAGCTGAATCTATAGTATAATTACATATATAGAGAGAAATCGAGCACAGACTCTCGATCCGTGTACCGCGCATGGACATGGTCATACATATACCTTATGTTCGAAATTTTAATATTCTTTAAAGTTCTCACGATCAACTTATTGTATTCTTTCAATTTCGTACTACGTTTGCTATAAACCGATCAATTAAAAATATATACGCATACGCAAATTTAAATCGCGCTTTCAGCTCTTCAACGAGATAGGAAACTAAATAAATACGTAAGGGATAAAGAAGATAAACAACAGCGGGTGGCCAAATTAATGCTTGACTATCAGAAGCAGAGCGTCAAACAAAATGACGCGTAGACAGGAAGGCAATCACAATCATGAGCATACAAAATATTGAATAGATATAATGGGGGATAAATAGATAGGAAAAAAGGAAGAGAATGAGTAGAATTGCTTAAATAATGCCATAACGGAAATAACAACGGGGCGACGCATAGTTTAGATAGAATATTGACAGCTGACAGCCGAAAATACGAACAGAGGAAATGGACGGTGAGCAGAATAGCACACAGTTAAAATGCTAAACGGAGAAGTCAGCGAAAAAAGCTAAAAATCGCATCGTATTTCTCCGCATACTTCACTCATTCTCAAATCAATGCAACTTTTGACTCGAGTAAAGAGTAAAGAAAACAATCTTCACAAAGAATGTAAGCTGAAATGTCACCTTTTGAGCACAAGTTCATTGCTCGATGTATAGGCATCAACACTGTCCCGCGGAAAAAACCCGCGGAGAACTTTCAATATGATCTAATAGATTAAAATGCGAACGGGTACAAAGACTCATAATCGGAATGGTGCGACAAAAACAATATTAGCGGACGAGACAAGGGCAAGCAAACACTATGGCATATTCGAGACACTGCTAACATGTTCCCTGCCAAGTTGCGTATATATTTGACAATTTTGAACAAGTGCTTTTTTGGGTGCTTATGAAATAAAACATATATTACCACCCGCAATGTGATCCGTCAGCGTTATACGTCCTAAGCAATATTTTAAACATCGTAACATGAGATATAATAATCGGTACAAGAAATCCAAGGATCAATTTTCAAGTTTTAAAATATCAACCTTAGTGCAGAAAATCGAACTTGGCGCACAAATGTATTTTATCATTTACTGAAACCGTTACATATGATAAGGAACATGTTAAGCAGAAATTTTCGATCTAAAGAAGGGCGTCCATTTAAAACGTTTATCAGATTGAGTAGTAAGTACATACGACGCTAACATGAGGAAGAGTAAAACGCCCGAGAATCAATTAGGACAGCGAATGAACAGGTTTCGCAAACGAGACCATATCGGAAAACTTAATGACAGACCTATAAACAAAAAGATAAATATGCGGATGATGTAGATAAGGACAGATCAGATCAGAATAACCTAAGAACAGGAGGGTAAATGAATAAAGAAAGTAATGCACAAAATTAAAAAAAAAAACACTGAATAGAGGACGCAGACGATAAACAATGAAAAAATGAACCGAGTCACAAACCGACCGAACGACTGATGGAATCACACACAAACTAAGTAGCGTACCAACCTAATAGCTCATGAGTCGCCATATAATGGAAACGCGGAAAACGGTAGGTGAAGAGAATGCTAAAGGAACTCGACCGCGACTAAATCGAATTTAATTTTTTTCTTCAAGTAAAATGCAATCAAGGATGAATGCGTACACAAATTGCCTAAGGGTATTTGTATGCAGTAGTAAAAATTATGTAAATTACATTGAATGTGTTTCAAAAACTTTTCCAAATGTTTAATTTAATCTTTCTAAACAAAAAGTTTATATTGCTTTAAATTTGCAGTAAACTTTATTTAGCAAGAAAAGCACATATATGCTTCGAAAGCAGCTTCTCTTATGAAAAATAATGTCAATTATTAATAAAAAAAAAAAAAAAAAGAAGAAACACAATGCCCTTCATATGATCCCGAAAAGGGAGAGAAACCCTAATGATAACCAAATGCATAAAAGTGACAACAAGACAAGCGAAAGGTTCTTATGAAAGGCAAGCAACATAACCCAACGGTAAATGTAATGCGTAGACATAGAGACACACCAGCAAAAATTGCGTTTGCCTCCCTTTGAGCATTCTTCACGTAAAGGTTATACATTATGACAATAATTTGCTTTTCGTCACGTAGTAATACACGGGCGTGGTGTTTTATGGCACATTCCATCACTAAGGAGTGCTTCCAATACTAAGAAATATATAGCAAAACTAGTTTAGGAAATGTTTACACTTCTAACCTGTAATAGCCTACTATCGCCCCTGTTGTCAGCAGACATTACTCCTTTGGATTAACACGGATATCAATAGATAATGTAACGCTTTCTCAAGTAGTGTAACGATTCTTACGACGATAGTCTGAATATTCCGCTTCGTTGTCGATGTGGATGGCTCTCCTGGACTAATACCAGATAATGAATCCAACTTTGGTGTCTCAATAATAGAGAGAACGTCAAATTTTCATTCAATTCAATATCTCTATTGTGGTCGTACATCGTTAATGTACCTAATGTAATTGCAACCTGTAGACTGTGCACAGAAATAGATAAACAGTGATCACTTGACTAGAGGAGCAGACGTCAACCGATTCGAAATTATTTTTTTAATCAAATAAGTTATTCGGCCTTGTATCACAAGTGATGTAAAATATTGCGAGCAACTATAAACCAAGTGAAAGCACTGCAGTAGGGTACGGCCCACCAGCTAACTCCCTTACCAGTTATTTATATAATGACTTTTCAAAATAAAGCGTTTTATGTACCAATTGTACCTATGTACAAAAAGTAGTGAAGGGTGTAAACACTGTACAGCCAAAGCAAATTTATTTGTGAAATTAATATGAACAAAATGCAAAACAAGCAGTAAACGTCTGCTTACGGTGTGTCATAAAGTTGTTAGAGAAAAATTTGTTTTTTTTGCACAAAATGGTAAA